CTAATGTTTCCAGCGTTGTAAAGGTACAGTATGTATACTGCTGCACACGCATGCTTACAAAGTACATCCCCAACAATCCCCCTTATTCAATGTCTCCTGTATACTGTAAATGATCTTTCGCAAAATGGCTAGAGCAAAAAATTCCTACTACTTTCACACTACAGCAGCAGCATCAGAACTACACTGACCGAGAGCAACAATGAGCATAAAAGCTGCAATCCTACTTACCACCGTTACTTTCAGAATTAGTTACATCAAAACCAAATGGTCTAATAAAATCATAAGAAACAATTCTGTTTGAAAATAATGAGGATCTTAGCCAAAAAGCTAGATTCAATTAAAACTCTGTAAAAGAGAAGCAAGAGGAATGGAAACTAGATCTTAGATCATTACCTTTGCTTGCCTGTATTGAGAAATTATAAAATAATATACCTGTGCTAAAGATAAAGTGTTAGACAATTTCCCAATGACATATGAAGTTCTCACCTCACAAAGTACAAGTATAAGAGCTAATGAGACTTGGTGTGTTTCATATATGACATCCAAAATGTCAGATCTACAATGTTTTAATTTTACAATGTGAGAAAAAAAGTTGTAATCCCAGAATTGTTGATCTGAACTCAGCTATTTTTTTTACTCTTCGGATTGAATGATAAAGCCAGGCATGTTCACTGGGTGCAGTATGTAAATTATGAATGTAAGATTCAGAACTAGGATTGTGTCATAGCCTTTTCTTCTTTAAGGTGGAGACATTCTTCTGCTTCTGTATCCATCCACGCCCAAACAGACTTCAAAAATATGCAAAGAAATGTCTTAAATCACAAGAAAGGTTATCCCTCTTTACGAAGAAGAATTACGAGACACATACCGTATTTAAAAAGAAAAGAAGCAAAAAAAGGGTAATAAAGATTAGGGGAAATTAATTGAGCAATGTGCTCTTTAGTTCAAGGTCACAAATTAGACAAGATGAATATACAGTAGTCGGTTTAATTACATCACCCTGATTGATCACACCGTAGCTAAAATCTAGATCTGCCAATGAGTACAACTAGCATAAGTTAAAACAATTAAAACAATGGGGAACTTTGTCTTGTGCAGACAATTCTGAATTATGTTAAAACTAATAAAAAGGGAATCTGCTGATGTTTTCAGAAAGTTTTCAGAGGGTGCGCCAAGATGTCTTCAGACAGCCCTGTTTGTTTAATTGAACTTAGGAACCTTTTGTATGTTTTGTTAGAGCTCGGCTACAGCCTAGAAGATATCCCTTCAAAGGAAAAACTGTTTTGAAAACTATAAACGCACCTGCTTTCGGTGACAACCACGTCTATTTCCTTGTTTAAAGGTATGACTTCTCAGCAAATGAGGAATCTTTTCCAAAAAATGAGTTGATAACGAGAAATAATATAGAAAAAGGCATGTTCTTCACAGGCCCTCTTTGTAACTTATGAAAATGACTATGCTGATTTTCCCCTTGGACTACTTTATCCTGTAAGCTGTCCTTCATCGGTCCAGCTTTGATGGGATTGAACCTTAAAGAGCTCTGCAACAGATTCTGCATTGAGAATCCATGCTATTAAAAAAGCACATTAAATGAGAAAGCTGGCTACATGCAGCTGAATCAATAACGGCCTCAACACATTAAAGTAATCTTGAATTGCAAACACAGCTGCCCAGGGAGAATTCTAACCCAAGGGAGGCTGTCGACTGCAAAGTGTTTGAGTGGAATACCCAAGAACCTTAGAGATCCAAGTTCATTTTCAACGAGGTTTTGTTTTTACCCCAAGAATGTGGATGGTGAACGGAGAAAGTGAAGCTTCTTTCAGCAACAGCTTAAAAACTGGTTTAAACAGAAGTTAAAAAGGATCTTTAAGTGTGTTAAGTTTATTAAAATGCATAGTAGAAAGCCCCAAACAAGACATTGTATGTTCTGAAGGAGTCTCACAGGAAAACTGTGGGTCAGATTTACAGTTGCTCCTTAGCTAGAATGTTGAGTGATAAATGGACTTTTCTTTACACAAACAAAGGTTTTGGAAAACATTTTTAACAGGATAATATTTTTGTGGTAGGTGACTTCGTTTCACTATAGAAAGCATCATACTGTATAATCACATTTGATAAAGTGAGCAGTTAGATATAGTAAAAGTGTTCAAATTAACAACTTTTGTGCCTGTTTCTTACAATCAAGCAGTTTAATAGACAAGCGCCAGAGGATAATTCAATTAAGCATTTAAGAAATCGGCTAATTCTAACAAAGATTCATCCATCTATAGTCCACTTATCCTGCTAATGGTTACATCAACGCTTACTGGAGCTGGACCCTACCGCTGTAGCGCAGAGCAGAAGACAGGACATAGGTCCTCTCCTGGATGGAACACCAGTCTATCAGAAGGCCATTGTGAAAAGGGGAATTCAGAATATCCAGTCATGGTTAGCCAGTACTGTACTGTATGTCTCTGAGAGATGGGAGGAAAATGGAGCTCCCAGTTGGAACCCATGTTAAAAATACTGGCTCCCTGAGGCTGGAATTGAACCCAAAAGCTTGGAGCTAAGTTAGCAAGCTGTCTGGCCACTGGGCTACCACTAAGGACGAACTGCTAAGGTAAATACAGTCATGGATCCGTTTTTTGGCAGCAACATAGACATAATGAGAGTAAAGCATTCCTTAGTTATTTTGCTTACATTAGACGTCGATTTGTCATTAATACATTCACAGTAAAGAATCACACCAATTAGGGAAGTGGCCTTTGTAGACAAAATGCACTGGCAAACATTATATGGAAATCTATTTTCACAAACAAAGGATCTTAAATGGGAATAAAAGGATTCCTTAAATATACTGTTAAGTGTCACACTGTTAAAGGTTCCCTGTGTGCACTGCTTTGTGAGTACAATCTAATTAATGAATGACCTGTGTCTGCTTACTCTGGGCACTGTTGTACTCGTTCCCAAGGTGAATGCAGCAAATTACAGGTTTCACCCAGGTGTGAACATCTTTAAGCTTCTTAATTGGCTGCCCCCTCCTCCACCTCCAAGTTAAATCTGCCACAGTGCGTGTCACACCAAAATGTGGTATTGCGAGGCAATGAAACCTGGTAGTAAATACAAATAAGAACTATTGGAGCGCCATCTACCGTAGAACACGTGATAATTACATAATTAATAAATCACATTTTAGTGCTATTATAAAATATTTTCGAAAGACAAAGGTTATAAAAACGAAAAGGTTTTGGCTGTATACAAATAAATAATTTGAGCATATGGATTTTCCTAAGAATAACAAGGATATCGCACAACTAGATCTCACACGACAGTATTAAGTAACCTTAACTTTCCATAAAGCCTTGATTTAATAACGCCGGAGAAGAAAAAATGTAAATATATCTGGTACTGCACAATGGGTCTTTGCTTCCTATGGCTTCCCAATAGAGGAAACTAACAGAACAGTGGTCTATTAGGCAGATTAGATGGATGAATTTACAATTACAAATTACACTAAAACCACAAAAGTTGTAAGTCTGGATTTTTTTAAAAACACAGTTTTCATCATTTCTGTTTCAGTCTAGCTGACTGCTCCATGTTCGGAAACACTTCACAAGCATCATATATGAAACATCTCGAGTTTTTTTTTTTAACTACTACCTCCTATGAACATAAATACAACTTCAGTGTCAAGTTGAAGTCAGACTTGCTTAGACCTTTTCATGAACATAAGTTCATATTTTTCCTCTTAAGTGCATATTGTGCTTTACAATAAAACTGCAATCTTTAGTTGCAGCGGTGTCGCCAGGAGGAGTTGGTATAAAACTGATAAATTACAAATTACAAACGCTCCCTGCGTTGGAAATAGCGGCGCAGCCTTTTAACTTCACCTGCGCTTTGCAAAGCAATATTTTACAAGTCACAAGATGTAATCTAAAAATCGTACACTATAATATTCATCGTGCTATTTCTTAGCTTCATTAGTATCAGGTGTACCTTCGTCTCAAAATGAACATAGGAGGTTCAAAATAATTTTATTTCGGCCATGCCATAACAATCCAAGACCACTCCTTTACAAAGAATGCCGATAAAAAGAAAAACCAACAAAAGCGAGCTCATCTCTAGTTTGAGCATCAGAAACTGGGATGCAATCCTTCAATCAAAACACGTACAGTAGCGCTCTTTTACTGAACTTCATCACCAGCTGCATTAATAAAATCCATGTGCCTAACCCTTCAGGTTGAAGAGCTCAGGTGAAATTATGCCACACAGAATTTTCAGTTGATAATGTTCCTATTACAGCCAATTCGAAACTTGAACACAAATACATTTTTGGTAATATTAATACACCCATCTTGTTATTCACTACATTTAACTGTAATTCTATCGAGTATTTTAAATTACGTTAACGAAGATGTCTACCGTTTCAATTTTACCACTAGTATACTTATCATGTCAACGCATCATATAAACTTCAATGCATCTATGTTGTTGTCACCTGAACGCAATTTCGTCAATTTAACACTTCGAACAGCACTTGCCTTTAACGAGATTAAATAAAATCTTTAGGTGTTGTGGGAACAGTATACAGGTAACATATACAAAAAAAAATAGATATTTCGTACGTCCAGTTATTTTCACTTTAGACACCGCATCAAGGTCGTTGATTATTATTTATACAGCTTGCAAAACTTTCACGAGGTGTATTTAAAGGCATCCGCAAAATCGCCAAAGCCTTTGTAAGTTTCTCTTGAGAAGTACGGCAGCATGAAAATATATCCCTTTTACGCTGCCTTACTTTTGAGCAGATGCAATTAAAATTTAATACGAGTGTCCTGGAAAAAAAAAAAACGTTGAGCATTTTTTCCATGCATGCTCCTTGTTTCACTTGCCTTATATTATTCACATCAAGCACATTATCTTGACTGGGGAAACTGCACTGAAAATAATGGGGGAGGATACAAGAAAAAAACAGTTACTAATTACACCCAATTGAAACCTAATTTGCTAATGAGCCCTACCTTCATTATCCGGATATGTCCTTAAGGCCTGGTTCGGTATAAACAAGTGAAGAGTGAGCAGGGATGGATAAATCCAAAGGAAAGCCATTTTCAGGCTGCTCTGTGTGCCTGCATCCCTGTGTACAAAGTTACTGAGCTAAAAGAGCGAGGAGGAGAGAGCAGCGGGTGGAAGGAAGGAGGATCCACCGAGAGCCCGATCTGTCAATCACAACGGGGCGGCTGGGAAGGGAAGAGAGACCCTGGGAATCGAGTCGCATCCCCAGTTAAAGGCGCACGCTCGAGAGCTCCATCATCCCCCGGCCGCAGAGCGGTCCGGACGAGCCACCCGTGTAACAGTCAAGTGATGAGTCTGATTTCTGACACATCATACCTCACAATCCGTGAATAGTGTACGCACATACTGCTCAGTAAACAAACACATAATCCCGGGTGTCCAGAGGTTCACAGCGTTTCCACTCGTTACAAAGGCTTGCTTTCAAAGCATTTTACTCTTCACTCAGGTGGCTATACTGGTGTGAACTGGGGTTAAAATGGAAGATATCCACCCATACAGTCATATTTTAATCTTTAATGTGAAGTATAAAATAAAGCGCACAGGTTAACTACAGTTTAACGTTATATGTATTGTAGGTTACTCGTTTTTTTATTTTAAACTACGCCAAAGTATTTCTAACTAAAACTGAAACACTGGATCTCGGATAATCCCCATTTATTTGTTTTTGCATAGTTATTAAAAAAAACAGCGTTTTAAGATATCTCTAAAAAGCTGTCGATGGATGTAGTAATAGAAGGCAAAAAGAGGCAAAAGCTGTTCGCGAAGAACACCGAACTCTAAAGTAAATTATGAAAAATGTATAAGCCAGTATTCGAGCTGCTTTTTAGTTGCAGCTGACGGGAAGAGTAACATGGGTTAGAAAGCACTGAAGCAAACCGATTAATATTTTCCCCAGTGCGTGATTTTTTAGTCAGAAAGCTTTTGAATTGGGCCCAAAGCAGTAACATTGTTTCTGAAGTACACGAGTTCAGCATTACTAAACCACTGGCAGACAGTTAAGGTAATGGTACAGTACAGTACGTACGTGTCTTTAGTGCTTTCTAATTTAAATAGGTGGATTAAAGAAAGACAACGAAGAATGAGATGTGTTCTACTCATTAATATATGCTGTATTAAAATGCTAATTGTGGTCTTTCAATACCTTTGGATGTATGAGTACAATAAATATAGGAGTATATGGTGCTACTTTTAAACCTTGTTTTTCAAACCAACAGATTAAATTGAAAAAACATATGTACATGGTAAAGGTTTAAAAGGTCTTTTCTTGATATAAAGGTACAGTACAATTTGTTTCCGGGAGATTAACCTCTCCTGTATTGGACATGCTTAGTGTTTTCATTCTGCTTGCAAGTCATGGGCCCCTGCTTGATAATGCTTCTTACCAGAGAAGGCAACAGACCAGACCCCTAGTGAACAGAGGCTTGGTCTAGAGGATCATACAGTGAAGACTTCCAAATCATCATTGGCGTTTATTCAAATCAACAGGAGCTGTGAAGTGAAAATAATACTTAACATATTCCCTGGTTTAATACTGTACATCCATTATATCCGTTTCTATTTTGTAACGTGATGACCTATTTAGAGCCCTTGTCCAGTGGCATGACATTGAAACCACATTTTTATAACCTCTTTATAATTTGTTGATTAAATTCATATTATGGGAATTCTGCTGGAATTTCTTTATATTCATTGTATGGGAATTGAAGAGCTGTTGAAATGATCGTACACTGTGCATGTCTCATTACAAACTCCTATGTCCTTTAGATAACCTCACTCTTCTGGAGGAGTACCTGTAAGCCCATGAGTATTTTTTGCTCAGGAAGTCTACACAGGTCCAATGTAATCACTTCTATTACGCAGCACACACTATAAAATGTGTAGTCTGTAACAAGTTTTTCTTTTCTGGACGGAAAATGTTCATTAAATATAATCCTATTGACTGGTATTTAAAGATGAAGGTCAAATCAATACCAATCTTCTTCTTGGAATCATAACGTTTTTTTTTTCTTCTAGACTAACCCACGCATACACAGAACCATAAGCCTCAATCAAAAAGAATATTTTATTTTATGTGTCAGATTTCTGTCACGGGAAGCATGAATGAGACAATTCGAATGTATAATCTGCTTTGAACAAGGCCTGTCAGACAACCAGACTGAGAGAAATACATTTATTTCAGGCTCACCAACGTTTGAACCATATAATGAAAAATGTATAAACCGGTATTCATCCAAAGCTAGTTGACGGGTTAGGTGAAGAAACAGCCATGGAGCTCTATTCTTTTTCGCATGGTGTTGGGGAGATTCAAATAGAAGTTAATGGATTGACACACATGTATTTTGGGGGGTACATACTTAATAGTGAAGGTCCCAATAACATTCGCGTTGACTGTGCAACTGATTCGAGGTATGACAAAGCACCTAAGCCCTCAAGATCTCTTAAATTAGAAATGAGGAATTCCTCTGTGGCATCCGGATTGAAAAAACAGTCAATTGCAAACACTTCTCCCCGTCAGCTCAAGATAGCTGTAAATATGAAACATCTTGGTTTGCAGTAAAAGTGAATCATGTATTATAGTGCATCCCGTATGTACAATATGAAGTGAATGCAATTTAGAATAAAGCAAATGTGACTGTTGTTTTCTTTTAATTATCATTTTTGTTGCAGTACATTCAACAAACATCATGTGTGTTTTCCATTAGAGCACAGTATTTAGACTTCTCTGGTGGAGACAGCAGGGTTACCACCTTGTTTCCTGATCTCATTAGATCGCAATTAACTGTGAGTTCTACAGTTATTATCCATCCCAACTCTTGAACCAAGGGAAAAATAAGAGGGAATAGACACCCCCCAGTTTATAGCCCCCTCTATGGCCTCAAATGTCTGGGAAACATATTTGGATTCAAAAATACTGCCCCCTCGGAAATTTCCATATCTTATATGGCTTATATTTGAAACCAGATTCTGCAGAATTTGACACTTAAAAAGAAGACCTTTAGTGTCTGCTTGCTGTAGTTGAGCACTGTGTAGTGCCATAGCTTTGAAAGTTTCAGGGAAAATATTGGCCGGAGTAAAGACAGAATTCAAGAACAGCAAGTTATACTTTTTTTATACAGTCTAAGCCACACACTCAGCAGGGCTATACTAAAGATCTCTGCTCTCTCTATCTGAAAATGAGCTCACTGCTTAAGAGATGACTTATTTATTCTATGCTACTGCTCTTATCTCAGAGATAGATTTATGATTCTTATGGGGGTTTTTTTCACTAAAATGGATTTGTGGATGTAGGAGGCTTAAGCAACCGCAAAGTATCTTATTACAAATAAATTTTGTTGCTGAGATTTTTGGTTTGGAATGCCTTAACAGTTTTATTAACGGTTCTCTATAATAGATGAAACAAAGACAGAGCCAGTGTGTGGGCAAAATGTGCATTTTTCTGTGTTAAGATATTCGCCACAAGTGGGGGATGTTGAGCCAATAGCTGTCAGTACAGTAGAAAGCAATATTATCACATGATTACTCCTGCTTTCTAGCCTGCTGCTACAGTGCAATAATGATCTGCTTTATATGGTTTTAAAATGGAGAAAGCAAATACAGCAAAAAAGAAGAAATAGACTTCAAAAATGGATGTTAAAAGCCATTGTTATATCTCTGTTTTCATTTATTTCAGAACCATAAAGTTTCTTCACTTATTGAGTTTAATAGAGTGTATCAGGATTACACCTGAGTGCAATTGACTGATGAAAAAGGATAATTGAAAACCACTTTTAGAACCTTATATTGATCAATTGTTCTCATAAATTAATCTCAGTTTTTATTAGGTTCTAAAAGGCATTAGAGACTATCATTCTGTCTCTCTCACATACACACATGGACTAACTCACACACACGCACACACACACAAAAAGCAACTATTATTTACTGAAATTTAATTATTTTAGCACAGATGTGATGATGGTGATAATATCCGCACTTAAACCTTTTAAAATGAAGTTTAAATTAGCCAGACAATGCATTTCTGTTGTTTCATTTATAGCTGTTTTCCTAATGTCTTTTCATTAATTTCCTGAATGATTTACAACCCCAAATTTGCATGTAAGAAAGACCTATAGAGGAACGGAACGTTTCCAAAATGGTTTTGGTGGACTAGACAAGAGTAGAGACACTAACAAGACAGGGACATTAACTCTCCCTTTTCCTTTCCTTTGGGAAGATCCTCCCGTCTCTCAGTCATCACCTCTAACCCTTGAGGTCAACCTGCTTCCTAAAAATGAGAGCAAGTCTCAACAGGCTGCTGCCACGTTGAAAACTTGTTTTTTGTTTGTGAAGTAGGCTAGCACATTATGTATAAGAGCACAAGGGATGATTTCAGTAATATAACAGAGAGCAGATATCATCAGTACACTCACTGAAAAACCATACTGCAGCAACACTGTTGTTTGTCATTGTGAAATAAGGCTGTCCACTTTTCCTAATCTGTACATTTCTATGCCCTGTTAATTTCTGGCTTATGGTTTAGGACTGTCCTGAAACAGCAGCAGTGGTTCAAAATATTACTGGAGGAAAGGCTGATTGACCATCCCTGCTATCGTCCAGGTGATTCCAATCGCACCATGAATTGTAAAGGTCGGGGGTACGATGAATATCCCGTCTGGCTTTCCGAGTCCTTCAATGCATTCACCCTTTTCAGAGCCAGTCACTCATGTGGTAATGTCTCTATTGTCAGGGTGGAGGGCTTAATAGCAAACAGCTTGGTGTTTGCATTTATGGAAAAGAAAGGGTTTGGGAAGGCATTCAGTCTGGGCTTGCTTGCAGTGCCTTTATCATATTAAAACCTGGCAATGTCCAGCGGACTGGAGGTGGCTAATATGGACCGTTTTTTTTTTTATAGACACTAAAAGAAACCTCCTTTAGTGCCTCCAGACAAGTGGGAATGAATAACAGGCAGCCTGATTCATCAAGACCCGACCATGGCCACAAAAGGTGATTGGGAGTGTGGGAAAGCCTTGTGTACAATACTTTCACTGCCTTAGATCCATAACAGTGCAGGAATCCCAGGTCCATCCCTCTGTCCCTGGAAGATATTTATTGAGTTTACTCAAATAAGTGTCAGTGGGCACAGCCCCCTCCCCTTTTCTTGACAGATGCAGGCTTCCTCGGCAGTCCTTTTTTTTCTTTTGCTGTTTATTTCTTTATTTTGAATTGTCACTGCAGTATCTGCAGAAATACACCTGTGTTTCACTGGTTTGGATTTTTTTTCTGAGACCTGTAAATGACATA